AGTATAAGGTGCATTAAACACGAACTATGGTTTCCCTTTGTATAAGATAATACAATCAAATAATTTCAATGTATATTTGTTCAAATTAAAAGTAAGATTATAATTATCTTTTTGTTTTGTTTTTTTTTTTTTTTTTTATTTAAATTCGAATCGTTTAATTTTTCTCTTTTTTATCTTTAAATTGTTAATGTACGTATATATAACAAATCTACACTCATACACGTGCGTTTAAAATATTGCATTAGTGATTGATTGTATTTTGATTGAAATTGAGAATTATTATAGAAATCATTTCTTTTTTTTTTTATATATTTACTATATTATTTTTATTTTTGAAAATATTACACAAAATAGGATTGGAGATTTGAAAAAGTTAAATTACAATCCTGGATTAGAACGTTGTTATGAATTAAATTATAGCCAAGAATCGATTATTCTGAAAAGTCAATTTTTACTTTGATTATGTTTACGTAACTACAGAAAACTTAGACGAGCTCTCTCTCTCTCTCGAGAGAGAGATTGGTTAAATAATAATAAGAGGTTCCTGCTGACAGATTACAAATCTTATTACTAATGATCATAATTCTTAAGAGAGATAGCGAGCACCGAATAACCTATTGATCTGTTTCTTTTACGTACATGAATACATTATTTTTTTTTTTTCTTATTCATTTATGCAAAATAATTTACGTGAGTAATTCGCTAAGAAATGTTTTTCTCAAAGATGTCGCCGTTTAATGGAAAGAAACTTCTCAGTTTAAATAAATAAATTAATATTTAGTAATGAAGAAAAAAAATAAAAAAGATTCTTAGTTGCATGAGTGCATGAAAGAACTTTAATATATACGACAAAAGAAAATATTTAATTACGATATTAAATCGTTAATCATTAAATGTCCGATTCGTAATTGAAAATTATATGGAATAATAATAATAATAGTTTAATGAACAAATAATACATTTAATTATCAAATTATACTGAATTGTTTTAAAAATTTTTCTAATTAGATTTATATTTGAAATATTTTGAAAATTAATTGTAAGATATAAAAATGTCGTATATATTTAAAAGTATATTTCATTCAAATCATATACTGTGAAAACAATATTAATAATAATAATTAATTAATTAAAAATTAAAATAATATTATATATATATAAATTAAAATTAAATAATTACCGGTGTAAAAACGTATGTCTTTCGTATTCTGTAACTGATCGTATCATTTCCGTTGAAAGTAATATTTGCTTTTTCCCAACGTTGTTTATAAACGTATGGACCTAGTTCATTGAGTATAGGTTTTTCTCCGTTGTTTAAAAATTCATCGGCATTGGTAACATTGTAAATGTAAATGTGTAAAAGCGGTGTCACGGGTGGTGCCTTCCACCAACCAAAAGTCCTTCCACCGTCCTTCAATGCAATTTGCTTGTTCACGATGACTTCGATCAATTTTGGAAAAATTCCAGCTAATATTGCAGCTATAATAATCAGCAAGACTCCGAGTGCCACTGCTGCCCCTGTAAAAATAGAAAGAAAAAAAATAAAACAAAAAAAAACATAAGATAAATATAAAATTAATAATCTTATGTAATTTAGCAAATAGATCTTTCGTACGAATGATATTATGCAAATGATCGATAAGATGACTTGGTAGAATTTTTTTCAAAACGTTGCTTGACCAAACAAAAAAAAAGATAAAGAAATGAAATATTTTTGTTATACTCTTAACAAGCGCTTTAATTAATAAAATACATATATTTAATATATATGTATATATATATTTTTTATATATGTATATATATATA